TGTTACTCTCAATACACATTGTGAGAGAAGAGTACATGAACAGCAACTTGCGTTATATAACTATATAACTATATATAACTATATAGTGCCCTTCATGCAAGGTAGCATGTTGAAGTGCTGAAGAATGGCATAGTTTGATGGGAACCAAGGAGAAAGGGGAGGTGACTGTGAGCACAGGTAAAGAGGAAAGTCTTCAGGTGCAATCTAGTGGACTGGATTACAATAGTACTTTGAAGAAATACACTAAAGCTAAGCCCAGCTAGCTGCATTTATGGTGGGGAGAGGCGACAATCTAGTCCGATGAGCCGGAATTTCTTGCTAAGGGGAATTGCAATGCCAGTAACTGCTTTTTTTTGTGCCGTCTTTTTTCAATACAGAAAAGTGCCATTATATGCTGGTACCGGCATTGTAATTGTTTGAATCCTGCGAGGAGAAGATAGCAAATAAGTGAGATTCAAACCGAGTCGAAGTCAGTACACCTGACCACTGAAAACTTGCAACTCTGTGAGTTGGGGGCATGTGCTAGGAGAGTGGGCTGGCGGGAGTCTATACCTGTGCCAGCCCAGGGGAATTTGGGGTCTACAGGAATGTTTTTATTTTTCTGTTTCAGGCCTGGAACAGCTAGGTATGAATTCCAGATTCCCAGAGTCCATTAAGCCAGGGTTTGCTCCAGTTGAAGTAAAATATATCTAGTAGTTAAAAATGTTTTATAGCAATAATATGGGAATTAGAATTGGAGGTCAGTAGCTCTAGTGCGGGGAACCAGCACAACACATGATTGCCTGAATGGCCTACTTCGTGCTATAAACTGTCCATTGTTCTAAGATGAGAGAATCTAATAATTTACAGTTACAGAGCGTGGTGCTAATCTATCATCAATTTTGACCTGAGCTCCCTTGCTGTTCAAATGTTTTGATTTTCTGAGATGAAGATGAATAGGGTCTCAGGATGAAATGACAGCTTCCGAGGCTAATTAATCAGGAGATTTAGACCTTACCTGATTTTCTAGGTCATTTAAACTTTTGGAAATTACTAGTGAACATTGTTCCAGCCTTTTCATTCCAACTGAATGTTCTTTAATTCCCACATGAAAACTTACCTCTTCGATCAAACTTATGGTCATCCAACCCCACCAATGAAAAGCACTCTGAGATGTTATCCTATGTGAAGGGCGCTATATAAACACAAATTGTTGTTGAATAAAACAGATTTTGAATTGGACAAATTAGGTTACGAGCCAAACATTTGATCTTGAAAACAAATTTCTGTAACTATTCTCTGATACAACTATAACAGCAAATTACATTTATAAAGCAATCTATATAGGTTTGTGTTGACACAGTAAATTTATTAAATTACTGAATGGTAATGGCAAGCCCAGCAAAAGAGTGAAGAGAATGAGACTTGGGAATTGAGTCACAAACATTACTCAGGATCTGAGATGAGCAATAGGTTGTAACAAGGGATTGGCACAGGTTTCTGATGATAGTCACAGACTGCCAGCTTTTGGAGAAGTTGCATGTCAGTTGGGATCTCAGAAAATCCAGTGAAGAATTGGAGATTTAGTTTTAGAAAAAGATAGGTCTTTTGGAAGTGTTGGATATGGAATATTGAATGGAAAGTTTCAGCTACGGTGGTACTGAGCTGTAGTCAAGATATTTTATTTCATTATAGAGCTTGGTAGCAAGACGCTATCCTGAGTGAAGACCCCTATGTAAATGCATGTTGTAGTGGAAGAAGCTTAACAATTATAACCTTATTATTTCTGTAGGCAGAGAGTCACCTCTCCCTCTCCCTTGCTCAGCACCTCTCTGGTATTTTACAGGCAGAGATCTGATTTTCAGATCATTTCTAATAACTTGAAAGCAAGTATTAAGCAGTATATCGTACCGCAAAATATGCCATGCATTGAGGTTTGCAGAAGCTATCTAACATTGCCTCTGTCCATAGACTGACAATTATTTGTATTCTATTTATTTTTACAAAGATACTGATTTTGGAACTGATAGTGTATGATATAAATGGCTGCAACTTAAAAGTACCTTTATGGATTATAAAATCATGGGTACTTTTTACCAGACATGTTAGAAATGCAGCAGCAAAAAAAATCACAATGGGGTTGAAAATGCACTTGGAAAAATGACAGTAGAAATGAATGAAGCTGCTGCAAAAAATCCTCAAAACATCAAGGTCATCTTCTGCATGTATGCCCAGGTCTTACATGCTGACCTGCAAGACCAACCTGTTCTGATCAGATCTCATGTTGGTGCAGAGCTGAGTTCTTGATAGATGATCTACATCTCCTGCTGGAGGACATTGGCAATGCAACTGTTAACAGTATATTTAATGGGGAATATGATACCACTGGAAGATATACTGGAGGTGCACTTCATATCCTGAAGTCTTTTTACTGGTGCGAAACAACGTTCACTTTTCCATTTTCCCGCAAACTAATTTATAGACACACAATCCTCACCACCTTCAAACCTATTCTTTAGCTGGTATTTACCTAATTCGTTTATATAAGGTTTATATGTCAACGTATTAACTATTTATACATGTCCACTGAGGTTTGTTGATTTTGTATATCTTCCGGTGCTATCATACTCCAAATTAAATCTCCCATTTACACTTGAAATACCATGCCCTCCAGGTCCAAATAGCGTTTAAGATTTGATAAGATTTAAATCAGGATCGAATCTTCCATGAAAAGAAATTTAGTTATGTAAGTCTTTATAATTTTGAAGCCTAAATCCTGGAATCATCTTTGATCACCTTTTATGGAATCTCTTTCACAGAATTTTAAATGTGCCTTACTTGTATTTGAAATCCTTGTATTTGATATAGCACCTTATTACATCACCAAGACATCTCAAAGCAATGTCTGGATTTTGCTGAAAATATAGTTACTGAATGTTTGCAGGCAAAAGCAGGAGCCAATTTGCACACACCAGTGTCTCACAAAGAACCATGAAATGAATGACCAATTTTATCCAGAGGATTATTATAAAACTAATCTCTGCATTTGTTATAGTGCCTTATCACATTGTTGAGATGTCTCATAGCACTACACAGAAAATATTGTAAAGTGAATTAACTGTATATCTTGTGGCCAAAATTGGCCAGAACACCAGGAGAAATCCCTTCTCTTGGAGCTGTGGGATTTTTTAACATCCACTTGAACAGGCAGACAGAACCTTAGTTTACATCTCATCTGAAGGGTGGCATCTCCAATGGTGTAGCCCTGTATTGTAGCGTCAATCTAGAATGACAATGAGTTCAAAGTACTGGCGTGAGAGTTCTACCAATTGAGTTAACAAGTAATAACCATGGTACTAGTGTAGCTAGGTGACTATCTGGAACTCCATTCCACAGTCCCTTTGCCTCTCTTCCTCCCTTGCCTCCTTCAAGGTCAGTCTCAAGGCCCTCCTCTTCGATCGTGCTTCAGTCATCCTCCCACCTCTCTGCCTTCCTTCACCCCTACCCCACCAACCCCCATGCTCGGGTCCCGACCCCTGACTGTCCAGCGCCTTGGGATGTCCTCCCGACGTGAAAGGTGCTCTATAAATGTAACTTTGTTGTTGTCTGTTGTTGTATCTAGAATAGTCTGTTAGAGTTTTTGAATGAAAGGTTGTTCAAACCTCAAAGACTCATTGTTGAGGCACCATACTGACCATTAACCACCGAGGGGCCTTGGATAATGATGGGCCTGACTAGTTTCATCAGGTGTGTTTTCTCAGAGTCAGTTTTACCTCAAGGAATCTTCGCTTTCTGAATTTTTTTTGACTAACAATCATATTATATTGGTTAGATTGTTGTGACCTGTAGAAATGTACCAGCTGTGGTACAAGCCACAATGTGACCTTTTCATCCTCTGAGGCTAATTTATAAGGAAGGGAACATGTTTTACTCTCTTACCATTTGTAACCAGTTTCCTAATGCCACAGGCATCCACACTTCCCTCGTCGAAGGCATTCCACTGAGTTGATACTCTCACTTTATACTTTCAATTGTGCATGTCTGCCCTTATTATAGAGAGCTTGTGTTTTGTAACCTCTCATTTCCAGTGTCAAACCATTTATCTTCATGCTTTAGCTCCTGTGCCACAAAACAATTCCAGTGATTCATCATCCTGTTTGATTCTTCACATATATTGCCATTGCACCGTTTCTCAGACTCCTGGCAACACTTTGTGGCACTAATTGATCACTGGCACACGTTTCGGTGAAATGCCCACCTTATTCACATCTCACATGTGCATGATGAATGCACATCAATTTAAAGGGAATCAAATAAGCACACACAGAGCACAGATTATGACTAATACAATGGGCTAAATATTCTCCTAATGATGTCAAAGATTAGGTATCAGACTGGCTCAGTTGATAGCACTCCTGCCTCTGAGTTAGACAGCTATGGGTTCAAGCCCACATTCGGAATTTGAACTCCATAATTTAGGTTGACACTCCAATGCAGAGGGTGGACTGCATTGTCAGAGGTACAATCCTTTGGATAAGATGTTAAACCAAAGTTTCCGTCTGCCTGAGTATATGTATGCAGTATTGATCCCATTTCTGTGGATGATGTCAACAAGAGGGAGCATATAGATATTTAAAAAGCTTTTTTTTGTTTGTTGATTATTGTTTTACACCTCAAGAAATAGAAAAAAAGACGATGTAAGTAAAGATTTTATCAGTCTCAATGGGCCCAATAGCCTCCTTCTGTGCTGTAAATTTCTATGAATATATATGTCAATATGGTTAGAATTATGGTCATTTCAAACAACTCGATTAAATATTGAAGCGATTGAGTCGGTGTAAAATGTCTCTATTTAACTCCAAAAGCCATTCCTGTGTTAACTTGATCGCATTTTGGAATTACCACTTGAATAGTGAAAGCCCTGTAGGATATCTAATAGGGGGCAGCCTTGAAGGAGTTGCCACTGAATATTTTCGAATGTTTTAATGAACACTTTACAATCTCCTGTCCTCTTCCTTTAGGCCCAATAGCTTTGAAGTCATGGCATTGGATGGAGTAAGCACTGGGATCTTTCAGTTTTACACTGCCCAGGAAAGCACTGACTGGCTGAGGGCAATATCAACCAACATCAACGATCTGACCCTGCAAAACGTAGGTTTGCTCGGAGCTGAATAGAACCTTAACAGAAAAATAATGCAATCACTGTGTGATCTTGAATATACATTATAAAATGTTTTCATAACTTCATTCCCACATGAGCTCTAACAAACTTGCCTGAAGCTTTGCCAGTTCTAATCCCTCACCTCTTCTCTGTCATTAACCGCAACAGGTTCCATTTAGCAATCTTAATGTGGATTTAAACATACTGCAGTGAAGTTTGAAGTGTTTCAAAACGCTATTGTGGACCATCATGTTGAAAAGCATGACGAACTGCCAGAAATTTCACCCCAATACTTTAGTTCTGTGACACCTTTATTGAAAATGTGCTAAAAATAATATTTCCCACAAAATATCAAATATTCCAAAAACTTTGTACTCTCCTGAAATATGGGCAGACTGTAGGCAATGAAACTTGGGCATGAAACTGTTTTTGTTCCACATAGAATTACACAGCATGTTATGGTATGGAAACAAACCATTAAGCCCAACCAGTCCATGCCATTGTGAAGTCCTGTAGCTCAGTGGCTAGAGCACCCGCCTCGCTAGCGAGAGACCTGGGTTGAATTCCCACTGGGCAAAACCTTAGGCAAGTTTCCTTGGAAGTTTCCTTGCAAGTTTCTCCGGAATATCGCCAGATTACGGCACTACCTCACCCCTCACGCTGCTGAAACCCTGGTTCACGCCTTTGTCACCTCAAGGCTGGACTATGGGAACTCTCTCCTCGCCGGCCTTCCCGCCACCTCCCTCCACAAGCTGCAGGTCATTCAGAACTCTGCAGCTCGTGTACTGTCCCGCACCAGGCTTCGGGACCACATCACTCCTACCCTCGCTCGCCTCCACTGGCTCCCCATCCCCCAGAGGATTGATTTCAAGATCCTCATCCTCACCTACAAGGCCATTCACGGCCTTGCTCCCTCCTACCTCTCCAACCTACTATCCCCCTACCTACCTGCCCGTACCCTCCGTTCCTCTGGCTCCGGTCTGCTCCACGTCCCCCGCCCCAACCGCCCTACTATCGGTGGTCGGGCCTTCAGCCTCTCAGCCCCGAGGCTCTGGAACTCCATCCCCAGTGCCTTCGCCTTGCTTCCTCCCTTTCCTCCTTCAAGGCCGGTCTCAAAACCTTTCTCTTTGACCGTGCCTTCAGCTCCCCTCTCGACTCTCTTCCTCTGCCTCGCTCCCTCCCTTCCCTCCCCTCACCCTGACCATTTCCCCCCTCCTCTCTCCTCCCTTCCCTCCCCTCACCCTGACCATTTCCCCCTCCTCGCTCCCTCCCTTCCCTCCCCTCACCCTGACCATTTCCCCCCAATGCTCGGGTCATGACCCAACTGTGCAGCGCCTTGGGACGTCCTCCTGACGTGAAAGGCGCTCTATAAATGGAATCTTGTTGTTGTTGTTGTTGTTGTTGCTCCACACACCTCTGTTTATGTAGCAGTAAATAGGAACCCAGTTGTTAGTTGATTGGCGGATCGTTTTTCTGGGGATAATAAATCCTTCAAAAAAAAAAATAATAATAAATTGGTCACTTGACTGCTGTGGGGCACTGCTATGCGCAATTAGTTGCTGCATTTGCCCACAAAATATACAGTCAAGTAACTTTACAGTATACTCCTGTGAAGCGCTTTGAGACGTCTTGAAGACATAAGGCGCTATATCAAATGCAACCATTATTATTTATACACCACACAGGCCTCCACCAATCCTATTCCCCTTGGATATATCCTTCTATTCCCTTCTCTCTCATGTATGCAACATATTTCTGAGAAGAAGTAACTTTGCATTGTATTTTACTTCCAACACAGATGAAAATGGCCAATAAATGCTGTTCTCCAAATGATCAGGTAAGATATATGACTTTATTTTCTTCTGTTGACCCTCAGATGATTTCTGTGCAACCTTTTTTTTAAAATTAAAAATGTGATCTCGATGCAAAGATCTTGAATTTTTAGTGAGTTTTATTAATTATCAAATTTGATCGGAAAAACAACTGACTCTACAACAAGAACTCATTCTGCTAATCACTAAGGCTCCCCCACACAGCATGCAGCATTCTATTTTGGGCTGATACTAAATTTGCTTGCTTGCTTCCTTCCTCTTATATATTGCAGCACCTTTTATTAGCTCATCTCCGGTGTCTGAACATATCCAAAATCCCAGGTATTGCCAGTGGTATCACGACTGTCTTTGGGAATAATTAAAGCATGATTGCAGTATAGTTAGATATTTGGATTCTTATAGCTATGGCCAAACCATTCTTATAGCCATAGTTTTCAACACAACCAAGGTGCTACAGTGAAATAAACCAGACCACTGTGTGCAAACTCAAATCTCTTGTGTATCAATTGAGTGCTGGGGTCCTGTCCTCTGGCAGCTGATAATGTAGAATTCTGTCACAGAAATTATTTGTGCAGTACAATGTTAAATGCAACCAGAGGGCCCTTTTCCTGGTGGGCGTGATTCATTTTGTTTCACCCCTTTGATACCACTCTGATTCACACTCGTCTTTTTATGTTGGAGGCATTCAAATCAATTTCAGGTTTTTCACTGAGTGTTTAATCCTTATTAGAAGTTTCACCTTTGTCCTTTTATTAATGTTTTCTTGATATGTAAAGATATCTCCTTTGTCCCTATCCCCAACTGCATTGAATTTTAATTTATTGTGAATGACTCAATCACACCTTCGGATTTTCTTATTCATTATTTCTATACAAAATGTGACTCTGGGCAACCATTGTTTCCCGAGCACATCAATCTTATGGTGAGCCTTTTAATAGGAAATATTAGTGGCAACCTGTCTTTCTGGAGGATCTATATAAACTTCTGCTGCAGAATGTGGACTGTGAAATAATTCAAAAACAATGCAATACATCAAATCACAAGTGTGTGTTTTGCTTTAGGTCACATTTGATACACAAAAGATACAATAACATAAAAGATGAAAGACAAAACAGCTGAAATCCCTTGAAAAAGTGAATAAAATTCAGACTGTGAATTCCTATTTTCAGTTCCTTCCCTCTCTCCTTAAACACATAAAACAGAAATGGAGAGGAACTGAACAGCATTCACGATGCCCTATTTACCGTAGGATGCTGTGCTGTTTGTTTCATGCAAACTCATTAACTACTGTAAGATTTCTCCTCCTGCACACTGCATGCCTGAGTGACTTTACTGCCCACTTGCTTGCATTGTGTCTCTCAAATCCCTTAGTTACCTACCATATTCCTCTGCAATTTATCATCTGCCAATCACCCACTCCATTTCTGTAAACCGGTTTCTCAGTATCCATGATTATTTTTTCCCTATGTTTCTGATTTTCTTTAGCTCAAATCAATTACTCCAAATATCAATTAGATTTCATAGTTCTTTAAAGCCACTCTCGGGTATGTTTGAAAATATTCAACTACAAGTTACATGTATGCACTGTGCACAATTGGCTGCTGTATTTTGGCCACAAAACACACAGTCAATCCACTTTACTATATATTCCGTGAAGCGCTTTGAGACGTGTCAATGATGTGATAAGGCACTATATCGAATGCAAGGATTATTATTATTATTTGTGTAGTGCCTTACGTGTAAAATGAAAGGTCTCAAAACACTTTACAGAATGAAATTAAACAAAGAAACAATGATACCTGCAGCCAGATCTTTGATGTTCGCGCTCCACCTTTCAGCAATGAATTTGTAGCAATATCCAACCAGTATTCAAGCAGTTTATACAAGGTTTGTGCTGGTCAAGATTGAGCTGTTCCACTCACAGAATCATGATTAGAATGATCGGCTGCAATAAACCTGCTAACCAAGGGGGACGTTTGAATTACTCACAGAAATTCAAACAAAAGTGCTACACTCAGCTTCGCAAATCAACAAGAAAAATAATCAGTTATGGGAGCCAGTGCAAATCCATGGTCTTAACAGATTCAGTGAGTTAATTAACACATTGAACCTGGTAAAACTATCAAAACATTAATCCCAGAATCTGAGGTATAATTGAATCCCCTCTAATCCCCCCTCACCCCACACAGTTAAACACCAAAGGAGATGATGTGCTCTTTGGCTATGTTTCCTTATGCTGCATCGTGCTTCACCAAAACCCTACCAATCTCCTGTCAATTTCCTATAAGTAGTTTTGAATACTAGATGAAACTTCAAACAGACATTGCACACAGTTCCACGTGTTGGGTAAAACTTTATTGAATATGGGACGAGGGTAAAGGATTTCTTAAATTTATGATAGGATCATATCCATTAATGGAAAAAAAGGAAAGAAAATTATTAACAGATAAAAATAACTTTCATGCATGAATATAATTTAATGTATATATGAAAGATCTTAAGAGTGTGAAACCTTAAGATTTAATACATTTATAAAAAATATATAAAAATGAAACGCTTAAAAAACATTTTAGACATAAAAATAGTTTATAACATTTTATAAAAACTAACAGTAAAGAGTAAACTGTGTCAATAAAGCCATTTGTACCCTCAAAAATCCTTATCATTACAAAGCATATTCAAGTCGTAGAATCATAGACTCCTACAGCACAGAAGGAGGCCATTCGGCCCCATCTTTGAAGCAGCTACCCAACTACAACAACTTACATTTATAAAGTAGGCTTTACGCAGGATAGTGTCCTGGAGCTATCCAACTAGTCCAACTCCCCCGCTCTTTCTCCATAAACTTGCAATTTTTTTTCTTTTCAAGTAATTATCCAATTCCCTTTTGAAAGTTATTCATAGAATCATAGAATAAGTTCTCCTTATCTCCCCTCTGGTTCCTTTGCCAATTAGGTTGAATCTGTATCCTCTGGTTACCAGCCAATGGAAACAGTTTCTCCTTATTTACGCTATTAAAAAACCCTTATTTTGAATCTTGTTACACAAATACATGTATAAAATGCTCCAGTAAATGACTGCAACCCTTTTAAGAATGAAAATAATGGAAAGCAATCACTGCCTAAAACACTTTGATAATTAATCTGCAATAGTTCTTTGAAGATGGAGGTTCTTTTTCTGTATGAAAAGCTGAAGAAAGATGTTTTGGGCGCTACTTTGCTTCCACGAGAGTCATAGAGCTATGTCCAAATCGTTCTGAAGTCAACAACAACGACAATTTGTATTTATATAGCATCCTTCAGATTGAGGTAGAGAATTCCAGAATCCTGGGGTGTAGTGACTAGAAGCACAGACGCTAATGGTGGAGCAGAGGGAATGAGGGACTAATAGGAGGCTGGAGCCATCTGATTGATGGGGGCAAGTATAGGAGTGGGTTGTAAGCAGAGAGGTGCCAGGGCATGAAGTGAATTGTACATGAATATGAGGATCTTGAAATCTATCCGTTCTGCAATTGGGAGCTAGTGGAGCCTAACCAGGATTCAGATGATGAGTGTGGTATTAATATAGGTGAAGATACAAGTGGCGGAGTTTTCAACTAATTGGAATTTATGAACAGTGAAGCTGGGGAAACCGGCAAGGAGGGCATTGGAAAAATCGCGGTGGAAAGTAATGAATACTGGATAAGAGTTTCAGCTGGCTATGAGGTGTTGAGTAATTAACTATAATGCTAATTGTAACTCAAATAAATGCAAAGGTAATCACAAGTGTGTGTCTGTGTAGGAGGAAGGGATGGTGTGTGTCATTATGAGGGAGGTTATGTTCTTGGTAAGCTTCTGGTTGCAAATAGCATCATACAACCATATAAATTTACAGCACAGAAGAAGTCTATCACATCTATGCTAAATCTTTTAAAGAGCAATCCTTTCAGTCCCATTTATTATTAATAATAATCATTGCTTTTGATATAGCGCCTTATTACATTGTTGAGACATCTCAAAGCGCTTCACAGAATATACTGTAAAGTGAATTGACTTTACAATTTAACTGCCTTTACATATACCCCTGTCACTGATTCCTTTTTAGATATTAATCTAGTTCCTCTTTGAAAGCTAATATAGAATATATTAACAGAATATATTGTAAAGTGAATTGACTGTATATTTTGTGGGTGAAATACGGCAGTCAATTGCACACAGCAGTGTCCCACAAACGGTCGTGGATTGAGTGAACAAATATTTATTATTTTTTTAAGGAATTATTACCCCTGGAAACACGATCCGCCAATCGACTAACAACCGGGTTCAAACTTATTGCCAGGTAAACAGAGTCATGTGGAGTAAGGAAGCTTGCCCAACATTTTGCCCTGCCGGGAATCAAACCCAGGTCTCTTGCTTGCAATGCAAATGCTCTAACCACTGGGCTACAGGACTCCACATGCCGGGGACGTTCAAAATGTTTCCACATGTCCAACCCAGGCAGGCCAGGGAGCCACCCCAGGGATCATGACAAAACCATTAGCTGCTAAGTGACTGCACACATTTTGAAAGAAATGTTCCACATGCTCATGTGCTTTTGTAAAGTCTCGGACTGCAAGGTCACCACATCCACAAATACGATTCAGGAGATTTGAAGGCTTCATTTTGTGTTGAAACAGATGAGCTGTTCTTGGCAAAACAACTATGCCAAAAAATGGCTTCTTGAAGAAGGTGTGAGTTTAAAGAAAGAAAGTTTAAAGAAAACATCCTTTTAGATTGTCAAGGTTTTGAAGGTCTTAAAGCTAGTGTCCTCCACTGCAATAAATTAGAATTTCTTGAATCCAGGAGCTTTCTTATCACTCGTAACCAGGCATATTAGCTCCAGCTCCTCCAGGCTTATCCCTTTTCAAGGCCAGTAAAGTCGTGTGGGATGATAGTCTTTGTGCAAAAAGAGGTTTGGGTAATGGATACAATGTGTGATGGTGTAGCAACCAGAATACAGAACTAACTCGTGTTTAAAGCAGAAATAGCTGAAAAGAAAGATTGTTTAAGTTAAAGGAACATGTTCCCCTTTGTACCTGCTGTCCAACACCAATACACCATCATGTTGGGCCGTTCTATAGGAGTCTGTTGCCTGCTTGTGCACTGAGACTCAAGAAATTCTCATTTAAATTCTCATGGTGGTCTGACCTGCTTGTACTCCACTCCTCTGCCTGCCTCCTTCGCTCAGATAGCACAGGCCTGCTGTGTGTCCCCAGACTTCTCCGTACCACCGTTGGTCACCCAATCCAAGACTGTTTATGGGACACTGCTGTGCGTAATTGGCTGCCGTGTTTCGTCCAAATATATGTATAGTCAATTCACTTTGCAATATATTCTGTGAAGCGCTTTGAGATGCCTCAACGACGCGATCAAATACAAGGTTTATCTTTTTTATTATTATTGGTGTCTATACCTTCAGCCACAACATGCCTAGCCTCTGGAATTCTCTGCCTAAATCTCTCTCCCTCACCCCCTCTTTACCCACCTTTAAATTCCCCTTTTCAAGACCTATCTCTTCAACTGCACCTATGGTCGCCTCCTCCACTTCCATGTTCAGCATCCAACCCCACCACTGTGCAGCACTCCAAGACGTTATCCTGTGTGAAGGTCGCTATATAAATTCCAGTATTTGTCTTAAAGCAGTCTAAAGTGATGGAATTTACCGAGTAAAAACTAACAGTGATCTAGAGCTCACCCATTAATGAGGGTTAACAAAAGTTTGTACATTGGTTACAGGGAATTTTTTACATTGAAAAAAGAATTTCACTAGGTTTTTGGACGAATTGCATTGTTTTACTCTCTAAATTCCAACATTAACCCTGCAAATGTTTGGATGGAATTTCCCCCCTCCCCCTGCTGTCGTAACTTTAAGATTACCCTAACAATACTATGTCTATTTCTGTGTCATGTGCAAGACGTAATACAAAGACATAAAGACATAATGCAAATGAGATGCCACTTAATCTGCAATACTGTATGCACAGGCTGTCTCTGTATGAACAGACTGGCAGGACTGATGTATTTTGTGCACTTGGTTTGCCTCTCCTTGTTATGACTTTGTAGCAGAGTGGGCTGTCAGTCTCAGTTGCAACGAAATCCTCATAATTCCTTTCAGAACACTTTTTAAGAAGAGATTCCCTGATAATCTAGTTCAGTAATTTCCTGTTTCATTTAGACATTATGATATGTACAGTGTTCTTGAAGTGTCATTGCAAAATTAATAGCATTTTGAGCAGGAGTAATAAAAATGCAGTGTTTTGATTTTGAGGATTGATTTTTCAATTTTCTAAGGTTTTCCTCTGCAGATAATTCACATGGGGTGGGTGAGTGAGAGACTTCTGGCATCTGATTCCTCTCAGCTTTACAAGTTCAAGTTTCTGGGACTGAAGAGCTCATTGCTTTACATTTTCAATACTCCACCGGTAAGAGATAGCGAATCATTATTTATCTAGCAGCTCTCGTTACTGACTCTTACATGTCTGTGAACTTTGTAATTCTAATTATGTTCCTCCTTCATCTTAAGCATGACTTAAAGCAGTTGTTTTAGCTGCCGCTTTAAAATAAAAAATATAAATGGAATCCCTGGCATTTTTGACATTTTCCTGACTTATGCCAGGTGTACCGCCTTCTAAATATTGCTCTTTGCATTCTACTCCTGTGGAAATCTGTTCAGCGTTACATTAGATTCACGATAATTAGAAGATTTTGTGTCTGTTTGTGACTGTCAGAGTCTAGATTTATTGAGTCTACCTTGAATTCGGCTACACTTAGTCCCATATTGTAAAAGTAATGGGGATGGTGCAGAGTGCACATCTGCTGTGCTGTCATTGTGAAACACATGTGTGGAGAGTCAATGTGTACATTTCCGCAGCAGCAATCTTTCACCCTCATGGCAAATAATCACTGTTTTCTGATGCTGCTGTCCCTAATAATAATTTAAAAATTAATAGTAATCATCAATAATGCTCGCGTTTAATATTATACCATATTATGTCGTCGAGTCGACTCAAAGCACTTTGCAGAATTTTATTGTGAAGTGTATTTCGTAGGCAAATAGGGCAGCCAATTTACACACAGCAATTCTCATTTTGAATAGTCCCATGGAATCTTTAACATCTACCTGAACAGGTAGAGGGTTAACAACAGGGGGTTAAATTCTCTTTATACTTTAAACTTGACCCTTTCAGTACAGTTGTGCCATTGTGTCCAGAATTGACTGAGAATCCAGTCTGATAATCTAAGTGATGAGATGAATTTATATTCTTTGGTATATGAACTCTATCTTTTCATGTACTGTGCAACAGTGCATTTAGTCTTCTATTATCTGAAGGGGTTCTTATGTGTCTCTCATCTCTGGCTATCTATTGATAGTCCACAGATGGTTATGGTGGACTAATAATTGTGTAACCTCAGATTTGGATTTCACAAAAAGACTAATTTGGAGGCTTTACCAGCTGAAACTAGATTAAGTAAACCTGATGCTCGTGAAAGGCGCTTAATAGCTGTCCTGTTCCTTGCAACATTTTAGTCTCTCAAAATCTACTCCATAAAATATAACTCTATTGTAGATTATACTGTTAAAAGAATTGGATCAATTCTTGCTCCCTTAATGTTCTATATATTAATGTCTCTAAGGTGTCCAGTTAATCAACTTCATTTCCGTTCAATTGGGGTTGAAAAGGTACTCGAACAAATTATCCAAATTTATAATTTACAAATGTATTTATAAAAAATAACACATAAATTATTATTAAAAATAATAATGATAATATTATCCATGTTAAGGCCAGATAAGGCAGCAGAGATATATAGTACCTTTTCTCCAGGGATCCTTCTGTACCTCACATATCCCTCGAGAAACCTCGGATCTGAGGATATCTGGAGCCCGGGACTCAAACACAGTGACACTAGTCAATGTGAGTTTCTTGTAGCTTGGTGGTTCGAGCACTTACCTCGCAAGCGAGATACCTGGGTTGGATTCCCGGCAGGACAAAATGTTGGGAAAGTTTGGTCAATTCACTTTACAATATATTCTGTGAAGCTCTTTGAGACGTCTCAAAGACGTGATAAGGTGCTATATCAAATGCAAGGATTAATATTATAAAATACTACAGTGTATATCACTTGCACTTTATTCAGTGGAAAATTCCCTGCTTGGGTTCTTTTTCAGCTCTTAAAAGTGCAGTTGAAAATGTCTGCTGGAGACTGTGAATGAAGTAAATAATTCTTGCAGTGTTCACAAACAATGCCAATCATGCTTGTGTTTAATAATCCCCACTGTGTTTGGTTGTAACCTTAGGGTTTAAATACTATTGCTGTGAAACACGATGATGTGTTAATGTCAGGACTGTGACAAACATTTCTGTTTGTGTTATGACAAATGTTTGTGTGCATAAACATACACTGGGAAAATACAATAAGAAAGCTTTGGTACGTGCATACTGTGCAGGAGCTTGTCAAGTGGTTAACATTTGATTTATTTTCTTCCTTACACTGTTTAAGATTTTGCTCTATATCAGTTGCTACTTAACAGATCACTTCACATTCTTCAGATTATAACATAAATTAGCACAGGTTGGGACGTCCTCCTGACGTGAAAGGCGCTATACAAATGTAATGTTGTTGTTGTTGCTATCACCAAACCTGTGGGTATCCTAGGCATCAGGTTAGATTCACCAACTGTCCTTCCTACCCCTTATCTGGTCCCTGACCAGGAATGTTTTCCTTCATCTTCTCCAGTTATCCCCCCTCCTAACATAGCACACATCCAAACCCTCATCAAGGCTTTCGTCACCTCCTCCCTTGATTATTCCAATGCCCTCCTCGACAGTTTCCCCAGCTCCACTATACACAAAATCTTACTAATTCAAAACTCTGAGGCCCATATCCTCACCCGCATTAAACTCCATACCCCCATTATCCCAATCCTTGCCAGACTCCACTGGCTCCCTATTACAGAAAGGATTGACTTCAATATCCTCACACTCATTTACAAATCGCTCCATTCACTGTCACCTCCCAGCTCTCTGACTTGTTTACTTCCCACTCCAATATCCACTGCCTCTTCTCGGCTGGCACCAGCCTCCTATATGACCCTCGTCCCCACCGCTCCAACATGAAAGTCTGTGCTTTCATTCACTATGCCCCGAAACTCTGGAACTCTCTTCCTCAATCCCTCCACCTTGCCTACTCCTTCCCCATCTGCAAATCACGCCTGAAGACCTTCCTCTATGATAGTGCCTGGTCACCTCCCCCCCGTGCTCAACGCCAAGCTCCGCCACTCTTGAACATTCCCAGCCACTACCCCATGTGAAGGCTGGTATATAAATCCAGGCTGTTGTTGTTAAATGTAGCTTTGTGTGAAACTATTGTTTTTCTGAATTGTAATTCCATTGTTTTTGTGACTGATGAGTGAAAATAATCTAATTGCTATCAGAACTCTCCATAATGTTGTGGACTTCAATCAAGTCACCCCCTAACCTCATCAGCTGTAGTGAAAACACCACTAACTTGTTTCATTAACAACTCATTTTCCTTCTCAAACAGCTAATCGGAGCTGTTCCAAAACACTTATATCTATCCAGCACTGACAGAATAATATAAATGTCCACAGATTATTTTTGCACTTTGGAGATGTAACCCCAAATCTCTGCATTCTGATTCTTTTACACACATCAAGATTGCCATTGTGGATAAATGAGTGCTGTAGATAAAGCACTCTGGTATGATCATTTTTTTCAATTACATGAGCGGCATGTTTTCTCCATCCACTATGATAAGGCCAGACCTTGGGACGAGACCCATTTCTTCGACAAAGTGTCAAGTTATTTGAGAACATTTGTAACATATCATTCTCAGCAGTCTGTAACGCGGTCAACAAATCTAAAAAAATTAATATCTCTGATCAAACCTTAAGCAATTGAATCAAAGTTCATATGGCTAGATGTCAAGGGATACCTGCACACACGTTAGTGGGGAATCAGATTTGCGGTCCCCAGGTGCTTCTAAAGAGGATGTAATTATCATTGCTGCTCTGTGTGGATTCATTCTCCTTGAGACGTCGGACAGAATGAAACCAAATCTGCAAGAGACGAGGAAGCCATGAATCATACGAGAAACAGTTATCACCTTTCCTGGTTGACTTTAAGTGTTCTTTACTGTTTATTATCTGACGGACTAACCCAGGTGCTTGTAAGACATAATTGATGGGCTCTAACATTTTCTCAATGGTGATTGACAGTGATTAAGTTTATAGGGAAATCTACTGGTGATTTGCTGTGAGAAGATTACTTCACTGCAACTTGACAAGATAGGAGGTGAATGTTATTCAATGTCGTTTCACAATTTGGAAAATAAGCTTTTGCCTTCTTTCCTTTCCATTCTATTCCCTTGGTATTTAATTATAGTTAAAGGTGTGCATTGGAGGTAACTTGTGCTTGGAAGAGATACATATTTTTATACTATCGAGTCTTCCAACAATTTGTGCATTCAATACTGTAATGTTTTGGGGATTTCAAGGCTGTTAGCAGTGAGTCATTACAGTGTTACCATTGGCAGTTTGATCAAGTGATTTGGGCAATTTATTTTTGTTCTCGGCTTGTGACTATCTCAAACAAATAATTCTTCATTATCTCTCCCTTTTGACTTTCATTTATCTTTGTTTTGTGGACATGGATTTAACATGCTCTCTAGTTAGTTTTACATCGTTTATATCCAGCATATATTTTTGTCTATAATAATAATAATCCTTGCATTTGATATAGTCTTATCACATCTTCAAGATATTTATATGCAACATTTTCTATTCCCAAAGATGCAGATCACCTGTTTAGAAAGAAAACAATTGTCACTCGGATGTTTGTATTGTATAAACCCAATTGAGGGCTGTGAAGGATTGAAAGCATTAGAAAATCAACCAGATTATAAAGATGTTACTAGGTTCTGGGTTTGTTTAGGAATGGGAAGGAGCATCAGAAAACAGAAACAGGAGGAAGCCAATAAGCCAGTCAAGCCTGTTACACAAGAGGATTTACTTTGTTCCACAAAAGGATTTGTGGAGGTTTTAGTTAGAACATTGGCCTCAAAAGCGAGAGGGCCTGGGTTTGATTCCTGGGCAGGGCAAAACCTTAGGCAAGTTTTCTTACTCCACATGCCTCAGTTTACCTAGGAGCAAGGAGGAACCCTGTTGTTAGTCGATTGGCGGATCGCTTTAAGGGGATAATAATCCCTTCAAAAATATTTTTAATAAATAAATAATAATTTGGTCACTCAATCCACGACTGTTTGTGGGACACTGCTGTGCTCAATTGGCTGCCACGATTCACTGACAAATACACAGTCAATTCACTTTTCAGTATATTCTGTTAAGTGCTTTGAGATATCTCAATGATGTGATAAGGCACTGTATCAAATATAAGGATTA